AGCGAAACTCCGTCTCAAAAAAAAAAAAAAGAAAAAAGAAAAAAAAATACAAAAATTAGCCAGGTGTGGTGGCGGGTGCCTGTAATCCCAGCTACTCGGGAGGATGAGGCAGGAGAATCACTTGAACTCAGGCCGCAGAGGTTGCAGTGAGCCGAGATCACACCACTGCACTCCAGCCTGGGCAACAGAGTGAGACTCTGTCTCAAAAAAAAAAACAAAAAAAGTACCCTTGTGGGCTGGCACACTGCCTCATACCTGTAATCCCAGCACTTTGGGAGGCCGAGGCAGACAGATCACCTGAGGTCAGGAGTTCGAGACCAGCCTGGCCAACATGGTGTGAAACCTGGTTTCTACTAAAAATACAAAAATTAGCCAGGCATGGTGGCAGGTGCCTGTAATTCCAGCTACTTGGGAGGCTGAGGCAGAAGGTGCCTGTAATTCCAGCTACTTGGGAGGCTGAGGCAGAAGAATCACTTGAACCCAGGAGACAGAGGTTGCAGTGAGCTGAGATCGTGTACTCCAGCCTGGGCAACAAGATCGAAACTCCATCTCAAAAAAAAAAAAAAAAAGAAGCATAAAATACACTTGTGTTAAGTAGAGCAAAATTCTTGCTTTGCGTAGCTGATTGCAATGGCAGCAAACTAGTCTTCCTCACTATGGGAGAAAGGGGCCTGTCCTAAAGGCATTCTGAGGTCATGGTTTCTCTGGTCAATCCCAGATCAGAAAGGGGACTGTGTCAGCAAATGAAAAATGTGCTTTTGTCTTCCTTTGTTTTTCAAAAGGTGCACTCAGCTAAACACGAAAGTGGCCAAACTCACCAGTGAGCTCAAAGAGGAGCAGGAAATGAACAAGTGTTTGCGAGCCAACCAAGTCCTCCTGCAGAACAAGCTAAAGGAGGAGGAGAAGTTGTTGAAGGAGACCTGCGACCAAAAAGATTTGCAAATCACCGAGATCCAGGAGCAGCTGCGTGATGTCATGTTCTACCTGGAGACACAGCAGAAGATCAACCATCTGCCTGCTGAGGCCCGGCAGGAAATCCAGGAGGGACAGATCAACATCCCCATGGCCTCAGCCTCAAGTCCCGCCTCTTCTGGGGGCAGTGGGAAGTTGCCCTCCAGGAAGGGCCGCAGCAAGAGGGGCAAGTGACTTTCAAAGCAACAGACATCCCCGAGACTGTTCTCCCTGGCACCGTGAGGGCATGCTGGGACCTTCAGCTAAATGTGAGGGTGGGCCCTAATAAGTACAAATGAGGATCAAGCCACAGTTGTTTGGCTCTTTCATTTGCTAGTGTGTGATGTAGTGAATGTAGAGGGTACTGATCAGGAGAGGTGATGGAAAGGGGCTGTGTTTGAAAAGGTCTTAAGAGTTCACTAACCTCAGACATTCTAATGACCATTTTGCCTTCTTACTTGGTAGAAGCCCCAGCTCTGTTGTGCATTTTTCCATTGTATTTATGGAGTTGGTGCATTTGACATTCAGTTCTGGGGTAGGTTTAAGTTGTTAAGTTATTTCTTGTAACTTCAAAGGTAAGGTTATCTAGCACTAAAAGATCATAGCAGCTGCTTTAAAGAGAGGTTTCCATTGGCTGCTGAGGAGTTATGAAAATTCCCTAGCAATAGTGTCATATCATTATCATCTCCCCCTTCCTCTGGGGAGTGGAAGAATTGCTTGAATGTTATCTGAAAAGAGGTCTGGTAGTAAACCAGGCCCTGGCTCTTTACCAGCAGTCATCTTTTCTTGCTCTGGGGCTAGCCAGGAAAAACAAACAGCTTGGGGCACATTGGGTAGCCTAAGTGTAGGAAAAATGGTGGCAGCTCCACTGTTTATTTTTGGTGACTTCATACGTCATTATCAACCTCAATTAAAGAGGAGGCTTAATGGCTGTTCCCAAACTCAAATCTCAAAGTGGATATCCTAGCATCTAGCAAGAATAAGTGGGGAGATTTCTCATCTGTGTGAAAATGTAGAGTGAGGCCTCTGACTAGCTAATTTTGTATTTTGCTGGGTGCAGTATTTTCTAAATGTTTACAAAAGATTGGTCTGCATGTTCAGGTTGCAGCTAGAGGGAGCTTGGGCAGATTTTCAATTACGCTTTCAAGATATAACCAAAGGCTGTTTCTAAATCCTAAAATTAGAATTTCAACAGAGCCCCCTTTAAACAGTCATGTAACGCTTGTGTGGGCCAACAGAGGGGCTGTGTACTCTCTCTGGAACCATAAATGTCAAATAATTCATAACCTGTAGTAACTGAGCAAACTTAAAATAAGACCTGTGTTGGAATTTAGTTTCTTGAAGAGGTAGAAGGATAGGTTAGTAAGATGTATTGTTAAATGATGGGATTTGGTTTTTGCTTTATAATTAGCCAAAGGTTTTCAAATGATCACATTTCGGAATAGGTTTTTAGCCCCTAATTAGGCCTCATCCCCTCTGACCTAAATCTTTTTTTTTTTTGAGGCAGAGTTTTGCTCTTGTTGCCCATGCTGTAGGCTGGAGTGCAGTGGCATGATCTCGGCTCACTGCAACCTCTGCCTCCCAGGTTCAAGCGATTCTCCTGCCTCCCAAGTAGCTGGGATTACAGGCGTGCACCACCATTTCCGGCAATTTTTTTATATTTTTAGTAGAGATGGGGTTTCACCATGTTGGCCAGGCTGGTCTCAAACTCCTGACCTCAGGTGATCCACCCACCTTGGCCTCCCAGAGTGCTGGGATTACAGACATGAGCCACTGCTCCCAGCCCCTAAATGTCTCACATGTTACTTGTTAGCACATCAACTGTATCACTAATCACCATCTATGTTTGTGGGATGTGCTGCAGCATTTCCCAAAAAACTTTACCTGTAATGTTGCAAAATGAATGTACTCAGACATTCTTAATTTTTACTTAAGGCAGACCAACTCTTTAAGTCTCTCTTGGACTTATATGTACAGATACCTTAAAGCTAGAGTGGGAATGTAAAGCATAACCTAATTCTCTTTCCTATAGAGATTCTATTTTATTTAAAATCTATTTTTACACTAGTTAGAATCCTGCTGTTTTGGCCAAGTACTTGTCTTGCATGTCTGACCTTGTAGAAGCTGGGGTGGATCGTAGCATACTAATGAAGAGAATTAGAAGTGGTTTACAAAGCTCGCTCACTCCTCATTTCTCTGTGATCCCCTCTATCCAGTAGCCCCACCAGCACCTGGGAAAACAGATTTTTCAGCATAGGTGAGATAAGGGCTCTGAAAGGCTGTGCCCAGAGGAATGGGCAAATAGGCAAATGTTTCCAAACTACTTGAAGGTTTGAAAAAAAAAAAATATGTTCCTTTGCAGGTGGACATTGCAAAAAGAAAAAAAAAATTATATATATATATATATGTTCCAGGAAAATAATAATCTTACCAAGATATGCAAAGAAAATGAGTGGTTTTTTTTTTTTTTTTTTAAGTCAAAGAGTCATGTTTGAATTTGACAAAATCACATCAGACAGAAGCTGTGTTTTCTTCAGGATGGCAATGAACCACTTAATATACCCATACTACCTTGAACAATGAAATGGAATTAAAATAGCCAGACTTTGAAATTATTCTGCCTTGTGTGAAATTCGTGTCTCTGATTCACATTTACTTGGGAGCATGTATCTAATCTAAGAAAGTGTCAGCCAGGCACAGTGGCTCACACCTGTAATCCCAGCACTTTGGGAGGTCAAGGTGGGCGGATGACCTGAGGTCAGGGATTCACGACCAGCCTGGCCAACATGGTGAAACCCTGTCTCTACAAAAATACAAAAAATAGCCAGGGATGATGGTGGATGCCTATAATCCCAGCTACTGGGGAGGCTGAGACTAGAGAATCACTTGAACCCAGGAGGTGAAGGTTGCAGTGAGCTGAGATTATGCCATTGCATTCCAGCCTGGGCGACAGAGCAAGCCTCCATCTCAAAAAAGAAAAAATAAATGTCAATGGCCTTGATTTAGAAAGCAATATAAAAATCAACCCCTTGGTTAAGTGCGGTGGCTCATGTCTGTAATCCCAGCACTTTGGGAGGCTGAGGTGGGAGGAACACTTGAGGCCAGGAGTTCAAGACCAGCCTGGGCAACATGGCAGGACCAAATCTCTACCAAAAAAAATTTAATTTGCCGGGTGTGGTGGTGCACACCTGCAGTCCCAGCTACTTGGGAGGCTGAGGTGGGAGGATCGCTTGAGCCAGGAGATCGAGACTGCAGTGAGCTGTGATTGTATCACTTCACTTCAGCCTGGGCAACAGTGAGATCCTGTCTCAAAAAAAAAAAAAAAAAAAAAAAAAAAAAAACAATATAGTGAACATCTGGATTATTCATCTTTCTGCTCCCTTCCTCCAGCTTCGCAAACTAATGAAAAGTAGCTGAACTGGACGGGGGAAGTCCCAGGCACACAACTCTTTTGCAAACTAAAAGCAATTTTTTTTTGAGACGGAGTCTTGCTCTGTCACCCAGGCTGGAGTGCAGTGGCATGATCTCGGCTCACTGCAACCCCCTACTCCCAGGTTCAAACAATTCTGCCTCAGCCTCCTGAGTAGCTGCAATTATAGGTGTGCACCACCATACTCAGCTAATTTTTCTCTATTTCTAGTCGAGGCGGGGTTTTGCCATGTTGGCCAGGCTGGTCTCAGACTCCTGACCTCAAGTAATCAACCCCCTTGGCCTCCTATGGGATTATAGGTGTTAGCCACCACGCCCAGCCACTAAAAGGAATTTCTACACCTGAGACTTTTTCCATGCCCTACACTAAGCTGAGATTTTTTTTTTTTTGGGGGGGGGGGTTGTTTTTGGTGGGAAACTGTCATAAATGTGACTTGTTAGGATAGATTGACTAATATATAAAACACTGAAGCAATTACCCCCTCCCTGCTTGCATGGCAAAGTTGTCCTCCTCAAAAGGGCTGAGAAACTGATTTCCACAGCCAGCCAGTAGAGTGTGGAGAACTTGGCAAATCACGAATGAACAGCCTTCTGTCATCGTTTGGAAACCCCTCCCCTATCCTAGTACAGTCAGGCTCCACAAGCTACAAATACCATCCATGAGATTTGGCTGCTGTGCACGACGCCACGTTGCTTGGGCTGGTGGCATATTTTGGCTTGTGCGGTGGAAGTCCATGGGCTTATCTAAAAAAGGAAAAAGTTACTCTTATTTTCTCCAGGATAAAGCTGAATTAACTGCCGCACAGTAACTCTGCTGCATCACTTCTCTTGGCAGCGGAAGGGAAATTAAAAGTCTCTTAAGAATCAGCTCCTGTGCCTTAATAGTGCTGGGGGTCATTTAAACTACCCAGAGACCAGGTTGTCACCTTAAACGAGTTTAGGAAGCCACCGAGTATTCTGTGGCAGACCTTTTCTGCTGGCCAGTCCTTTTTATGCTTACCTGTGAGAATTCTTGAAATAGGATACCCAGAATACCTATAAAGTGGCCACACAGATGAAGCTTTTTTTTTTTTTTTTTTGAGATGGATCCTCATTCTTTTGCCCAGGCTGGAGTGCAGTGGCGCAATCTCAGCTCACTGCAACCTCCACCTGCCAGGTTCAAGCAATTCTCACGCCTCAGCATCCCAAGTAGCTGGGATTACAGGTGTGCACCACCACGTCTGGCTAATTTTTGTATTTTTAGTAGAAATGGGGTTTCACCATGTTGGCCAGGCTGGTCTCAAATTCTTTTTTTTTTTTTTGAGTTGGAGTTTCGCTCTTGTTAGCCAGGCTGGAGTGCAATGGCACAATCTCGGCTCACCGCAACCTCCGCCTCCTGGGTTCAGGCAATTCTCCTGCCTCAGCCTCCTGAGTAGCTGGGATTACAGGCACGCGCCACCATGCCCAGCTAATTTTTTGTATTTTTAGTAGAGACGGGGTTTCACCATGTTGACCAGGATGGTCTCGATCTCTTGACCTCGTGATCCACCCGCCTCGGCCTCCCAAAGTGCTGGGATTACAGGCGTGAGCCACCGTGCCCGGCCTCAAATTCTTGTCCTCAAGTGATCCTCCTGCTTGGCCTCCCAAAGTGCTGGGGTTACAGGCATGAGCCACTGTGCCCGGCCATTTTTTGTATATTTTGGTACAGATGTGGTTTTGCCATGTTGGCCAGGCTGGTCTTGAACTGTTGGCCGCAAGAGATCTGCCCGCCTCGGCCTCCCGAAGTGCTGGGATTACAGGTATAAGCCACTGTGCCCAACCCAGATACACCTTTGACAGTAAAGTGTGAAGCAGTGATAGGGAGAAAAGCCTGTCCTTTATGAACCCCAAATTTTATCCTAGAGTCAAGGCCAAATGTCTCCTCCTCTGCAAGGTGAAGTTGATTTTGCACCTCCCTGCCACCACTAGCCTCCCGCAAACACTCCTATAGTCTCCCTGAAGCAAATGAAAAATATTCTTTGCGTCTGTGCATTAGTAGACTTCAGGGAAGGTAGATAAGTCTTTTAATGTTCACTGGAGTTGGGGCTGGCTTCTCTATCCTGATTAGTGTCATAATCAACTTCTGTTATTTATTTATTTATTTATTTTCTGAGACAGAGTCTCTCTCTGTTGCCCAGGCTGGAGTGCAGTGGTGCCATCTCAGCTCACTGCAGGCTCTGCCTCCTGAGTTCAAGCAATTCTCCTGCCTCAGCCTCATGAGTAGCTGAGATTATAGTGCACACTACATGCCTGGCTTTTTTTTTTTTTTTTTGAGACGGAGTTTTCCTCCTGTTGCCCAGGCTGGAGTGCAATGGCACAATCTTGGCTTACTGCAACCTCTGTCTCCAGTGTTCAAGTGATTCTCTGCCTCAGCCTCCCAAGTAGCTAGGATTATAGGCATGCGCCACCACACCTGGCTAATTTTTGTATTTTTAGTAGAGAGGGAGTCTCACCATATTGGCCAGGATGGTCTCACTCTCTTTTTTTTTTTTTTTTTTTCAGACGGAGTTTCACTCTTGTTACCCAGGCTAGAGTGCAATGGCGTGATCTCGGCTCACCACAGCCTCCGCCTCCTGGGTTCAGGCAATTCTGCCTCAACCTCCTGAGTAGCTGGGATTACAGGCACGCGCCACCATGCCCAGCTAATGTTTTTTTTGTATTTTTAGTAGAGACGGGGTTTCACCATGTTGACCAGGATGGTCTCGATCTTCTGACCTCGTGATCCACCCGCCTCGGCCTCCCAAAGTGCTGGGATTACAGGCTTGAGCCACCGCGCCCGGCGGTCTCAATCTCTTGACCTTATGATCCACCCACCTCAGCCTCCCAGAGTGCATGGGGTTTCGCCATATTGGCCAGGCTGGTGTCG